GGGTCTCACTCAGTCTCTCAGGCTGGAGTGCAGTGGCATGATCTCAGCTCACTGAAGCTTCAACTTGATGAGCTCAAGTGATCCTCCTGCCTCAGCCTCCCAAATAGCCTGGACTGCAGGCATGTGCCACCACACTTCGCTAATTTTTGTATTTTTAGTAGAGATAGGGATTTCACCATGTTGCCCAGACTGGTCTCAAACTCCTGGGCTCAAGCGATCCACCTGCCTCGGCCTCCCAAAGTGCTGGGACTACAGGAATAAGCTACCATGCCTGGCCATAGCTTTATTCTTATTAAGTAGTGTTTATTATGAGTTAGTCCACATAATATAACCAGATAAAGATGGTTAGTGAATTATGATTTTTTTGTTAAAACACTACTACAGCAAAAAGAGGCAGGCATTCTTTTTTTTTTCTTTTTTTTTTTTTTTTCCGAGACAGTGTCTTGCTCTGTCACCCAGGCTGGAGTGCAGTGGCACAATCTCAGCTCACTGCAACCTCCACTTTCCAGATTCAAGCAATTCTGGTGCCTCAGCATCCAGGGTTGGGATTATAGGCACATGCCACCACACCTGGCTAATTTTTCTTTTTTCAGTAGAGACAGGGTTTTGCTATGCTGGCCAGGCTGGTCTCAAACGCTGTACTGGCATGGATGTATAGTCAATAGTTTAAAAATTGTGGAAGTCACTGCATTTTCAACCTGACATGTTAACCTTCCCCTGGGATCTTTCACTGGATCATAGAGCCTCCAGTCTTGCTCTGAGAATATAAGCAGGATCGTGATAAAGGTATAGCCCCGCACTGGGTGGCCCTGGCCACAGGGACCTGTGGGACTTTAATGACAGCAAGCACTGTCCAACAGGGTCCAGTGAGGAAGATGGTAAAAATCAGGAAACTTGCTGGGATGATGTGACGCATGTCAACTTTCTGATTTTCTTTAATGAAGTTTTTAAAGTCTGGTGCCTTCTCCTGGATTACAGGAGAAAAGCTGGAATGTTAATATTTTCTTTAACTCCCTGCCCTGCCTCCCATCCACCAAGAGATATGGTTGCAGAGGGGGAAAGAGCCACATGCCCCTTGGAGAGGAAGTACGGAATCAGTGTCCCCGGGTGGTGCATTCCTACAGGGGCCCGGCGAGGGAAAGTCCAATGGTGGGCCTCAGGGACAGGAATCAGGGTCCCGCCTGGTGGGGCTAACTCTGTCCCCACAGAGCTCAACTCACTGGCGTCTCCCCGGCGTTGCAGTCCTCTGTGGGGACCTCAGCTGCCGCAGCTGTCTTCTCCATAACAGCCCCAGCTCCCGGGCATGGGTCCTCTGGGTGGGTGCCCTGGTGGGTGCCAGCCTTGAGCTGACCTGCCAGCATCCTGGTTGGGAAGGGAATGGCTATGGGGATGCTTGAATGCAGCCCCCCTACCCTGTCAGTGTGGGCTGAAGGCCCCAGCCCCAACCTAAGTGTAAGCAGGACCTGGAGCCACTCTTCTCCCCCTGGGTCGTGGGCACATTCCCAAGCCTGAAGCTGACCAGGTAAAAGGACACCACAGATGGAGGGACTGAGCTGTCCACACCTGGCTCTCCACCATCCTCCGTGGAAAATGCTTGAAATCCTAGAAGATCAGCCTGACACCTAACGCACTCTGTTCATCCAAAGAGGGGTGTGAGCGGGATGTGAGTGGGGTGTGAGTGGGATATGAGCAGAATGTGAATGGATGTGAGCGGATGTGAGGGGGATGGTCTTGGGGTGTGAGCGGGATGGTCTTGGGGTGTGAGGGGGATGGTCTCGGGGTGTGAGCAGGTGTGAGTGGGATGGTCTCGGGGTGTGAGCGGGTATGAGCGGGATGGTCTCGGGGTGTGAGCGGGTGTGAGCGGGATGGTCTC